CACCTGCCCAATACTTTCAAAATGATGTCCGACAGTAACCACACTACTGCTATTAGTTACGTAAAAACCCCATAAATTCAAACTGCTGTGATAATACACAAGTAATATCCACCACTGCTCCTGGAACGGACATGGGTTGGGCACGGCACCCTCAGCGGCACACCCCAACGACACAGGCAACTGGAGTTGGCCAGGAACCCCGACGAAACAGGTGTCGGCCGGACCCCCAGCCCTCCAAGGCCCCCGGACCATAGGGCTTGGCTCGGACCCCCGGCAGAAGCAGTTGTCGGCGGGGCTCCAACCCGCACCACCGCGATACATTCCCACGGCGCTAACAAAACTTAGTCCCGCCGCCGCACAACCGACGAAACCCACCCCACCCCGCTGCACTCCGAGCTAGGGACTCGGCAGACGCGCGGGAATTGAGATGGAACTCACGAGGGGCCACACTCGAGCGGGGAACTCGACGCCCCGCGCCGCACAATCGAGAGGCGGACTACAAAACATCGAGAGCTGACTCGAGAGGCGGACTCGAGAGGAGACTCGAGAAGGCGTTCCCGGCCACACACAACGGGCGGGACTCGAGAGGGGACTCGAGAGGGGACTCGAGGGGAACTCGAAGGGGGAACTCGAGAGTGGCTTCGGCTTGAGAGGGGACTCGAGAATAGACTCGAGAGGGGCACCTGAGGGCACTCGAGAGGAGACTCGAGAGGGGACTCGAGAAGAGACTCGAGAGGGACTCGAGAAGAGACTCGAGAGGGGACTCTGAGAGGAGACGTGAGACGGTTGTTCGCCGACAAGAACACGGGGGCGCGGCTGGAGTCGGCCCGGAATGCCGAAAGGACACAGGGAGCTGGCGTTGGCCAGAGAGCCAAAAGGAGACGAGGGGCTGGAGTCGGCCGGTACGTCGACAGGACACCGTCGGCCGGAGAGCCAGTACTGGAGCCGAAACCATGGCTGCTGGGGCCGGTTCTGGAGCCGGAACCATGGCTGGTGGGCACGGAACAGAAGCCTGGACCCTGGCTGTGTCAGTCAGGTAATTTTTTTTTTATTTAACCTTTATTTAACCAGATAAAAAGCATTGAGATAAAATCTCATTTGCAATGCTGACCTGGCCAAGAAGGCAGCAACGTTACACATAACACATAACACAAACATATAAAATAAGGAGAACATAACTAAGAAAACAAAAGACGAAAAAGCAGTCACTACATTGTGCACATTAGGACAGTAAGAAAGGTGCACTACTTATTACTGCAAGAGCAGCTGGCGGTAAGGATTTCAGACAACTTCAATTTAAAACATGCTATTGAGACAAGTGCCGTCAGTTTGAGGCGTGATTGAAGGTCATTCCAAGACCAAGTACCATAATAAAAAAGACTCCTTTTTCCAGCCTCAGTCCGCACAGCAGGTACCTGGAACCGTATCCAGGCACTGGTTCTGAGGTTGTAAGAGTCACAAACTGGGGCAAATCTGGCACATATGTAGTGTACTACTATGAGGATCCTAATTGTGGCTTTGCCTAAAATACCTCAAGAACAATTAGGTTTAGATATTTATATAACCCTCTGTATGAATTGTAATAACTTAAATTAGCAAATGTTAGCATGATTCATGTTTCTAAAATGGTAAACATTATAAACATTATACATATATCAGAATATCAGAATGTTAGCTTCACCTAATTTTAACATCTCGTGGCTATATCTCTTGTTCGGGTTGGATAATCTTTTGCAACCATGCATGCAGAGGGTATTTTCTGGAAGCAGTACCAATGTCAGGTGTGACTGTAGTGTAGCCCATCCATCATAGAATGCACACAGTATGCATGCAATGTATTATTGCAATGTCAAAGTATCAGGATTCTTCTACATGTAGCACACCATATTTCCCAGCTCTACCAAGAACATGAAATCATTAACTTGAGCCCGCTGCTTACAGCCATTCCGCCATGTGTGTACGTTTCTTTCACGGCTTCCATCCCTCACCTTGCAGCACACAGCAGCATTGTGTTATTCTCACACCTTCTTTAATGGCCCAGCTTTGGCAATAGCAAGCCCTAAGGCGTACAGAACTCGGAAAGTGTTCACAATGTCATTAATAGTCCTGACAACAGCTTAATGAGCCCCGGCCATCTGTTTATGAAAGCTTCAGGGAAAAGCGAGAGAGAGACAAGAAAATGTGATCCAGTAGCGATTTCCAGCTGTGTGAGCGCGCCTGATTTCCACTTGAACATTTCTAAACACATGAGGACATTTTAAGTGTAGTGACTTATGCAGCGTCATCTACAGTGAGTCAGTGACTGAGCCTGGGCTGTCTGCCCGGTATCAACAGCCTCTAAATCACAGCCTTCAACCATTGGACCACACTACCTCGCCTTTAGCGTCCTCGCCCCTCCTTCCTCTGTACCACCCTGGAGTGTCCTTAGGCCTTGTTTGGCTAAAGTATACACATGGCATGAGTAACTGAAGCCACCCAGGGCTCCCTGGCGCGGTGGCACGAGACACATACCGGGTTGCACAAGTCGGAAAGACAAAGTGTCCCGTCACTGTTTACGGTGTACTCAATGCCTGATGCATACAAATACACACAAAAACAATGACATAGCTCCAGGGAGGTAAATACAGCAGCATTGGCTTGCAGTAGTCCGCACAGGAAACTGATCTGTCACTTGATGCATTTCCAGATGTGTAGCGAGTCCAACACAGGGAGCTTAGAAATGCTCATTCTACCTCTCAAGGGTCTCACATCTGTCACTTGGCTTTGATCATGTATTTTCTAATCTTAAAGCAAGGGAAGGCAAGGACTGAAGTGACCATAGCTTGGTCCTGTTAGTAGTTGGCTAATTTCCTCTGTAGTCAGCTTTGAAAGCGACCGTTTCCATTTCCTCTGTTCCAGTTTCTTTGGTCCTCTCTGAACCCTCTAATAGAGAATAGCAGAATCCCCCAAAGGCAAGAAAGAGGTTAATGTGCAGATTGATGACTCTTGTGGCCACTTGTTTGTAAATGTTTCCATCAGGGGTTAAAAGATCTTAAAGGAGTACCATGTCAGGCACCCTGCATATGTGTGCAAATTGCAGATTCATTACAGTCTAGAATCACTGAGCTGCAAATGAATTTGGTGGGATGGGATGGGGGCGGGCGAGCGAGTGGTGGTAAGTGAAGTCTGGTGTGGGCAGCAATGATGGTGGTCCCCGACTGTCGATGCTCTCTCCCTTATTTCCCTCCCTTTACTTCCTCACTCCCAGTCCCCCGCCATCCTCAGCCCATCTGTTCCTGCTTGGCCTCTCCATCAGGTAGGCCCGAGCTATTGAGTTCTCATCTCATCGTATCTGAGCAAGCCAGAAATGTGTGTGTGTGTGTGTCTGTGTCTGTGTGTGCGCACCTGCCACACAGTTTAATAACTGTCTAAATAGTTGACAAAAGAGGGCACACCAATGTCAATAGCTTGCTATCAACTTACTTTTTAGGCCAATTAGCTCATGGGAAAATATTTAGCAAAAGAAGAACATTGAGTGCAAGCTGCATTCTTTTTATCCTTTTAAACAAGACAGGTAAGCAGTACAGGTGATATCAAACAATATCACTTTCTTTCACTATTTCTTTCTCTTGAGAGACTATTTTTTACTGTTTTAAATCCAAACAGTTTCACTCCCTTTCCAAGCAATTTCTGCAATTAATAAAACACATTTCAATTTCTCCAAAGGCATCAATTCACATTCTAAACGTCAACATTTTTATCGGAGGAGACTTTCCTGCAGTATTGCTTTACGGCCACTTACTGTATATTGAACTTTTATCGCTTCAACAAAAAGGCAAACACGCACACCGGCCAGATGAATCAATCCCACCCTTATTTAGATTAAGCAAATGGAAAGTATTTTACTTTCATTATTTGGGAAAAGTAGCTCTCAAGGTGGTCCTCAGTTTGAGTTTGGAGGGATGATTGGTATGATAGTGCAGTGCTGTAAGAGTTTTCTCAACAGTGGACATTATGGTTTTCCCAGGGTCTGTGGTCAT